GTTGCTCTTCTTGTGCAGCTCTTCTTTGTTGCTCTTCTTGTGCAGCTCTCCTTTGTTGCTCTTCTTGTGCAGCTCTCCTTTGTTGCTCTTCTTGTGCAGCTCTTCTTTTCAGTTCTTCTGCAACTCTCTGTTTTTCTTCTTGTGCTCTTCTTTGTTGCTCTTCATACACAGCTCTCCTTTGTTGCTCTTCTTGTACAGCTCTCCTTTGATGCTCTTCTTGTGCAGCTCTTCTTTTCAGTTCTTCTGCAGCTCTCTGTTTTTCTTCTTGTGCTCTTCTTAGTTGCTCTTCTTGCACAGCTCTTTTTTGTTGCTCTTCATACACAGCTCTTCTTTGTTGCTCTTCTTGTGCAGCTTTTCTTTGTTGCTCTTCTTGTGCAGCTCTTTTTTGTTGCTCTTCTTGTGCAACTTTTCTTTGTTGCTCTTCTTGTGCAGCTCTTTTTTGCTGCTCTTCTTGTGCAGCTTTCCTCTGTTGCTCTTCTTGTGCAGCTCTCTGTTGCTCCTCTATTCTTCTGTTCTTCTTTTCCTCAATTTCTTTCATTCTCACTTTTTCTTCTCTTTGTTCTGCTCTAATATCCTCTTCTTTCTGTTTGAATTTTGTTTCTTCATCTGATCTCTCTGCTTCCCTCTGCTTCTCTCGCCTCTCCTTGATCTTAATAGCTACGGCCTCACGCTCTTTTGCTCTCCTCTCCTCTTCTCTCTGAGTGGCTCTCCTCTCTTCTTCAGCCAGAGAAGCTCTACTCTCATCCAATATATGCTTTATTTTCATGTCTTCTTCTCTTTTTATCTCTTCAGACATGAATGCTTGCTCTTCTTCTAATTGTTTTTTCGTACGCTGCTGCTTTGCTATGATTATTCCATGCTGAGTTTCAAGACTTTCTTCTTTTAGTTTTTCTGTCCTCTCATCGTCAGTCTTAGGCCCCAGGTCTTTATTTTGATGTTTTTCAAATCTCCCATCTTGCATTTGTTGGGTAAAATTTTCTTTCCTGTTGCGCATTTGCTCCATGGTTGGATGTAGAGAGTCGTTAACTACAAAAGATGATGTTGCTGGTTGCAAAGAATGACTATTTGGCTGACAAACGGTTTGATCTTCTTGGAATCCCTTTTGGGAGCCAGCTTCAGATATTTGTATTGTCTGAGTTTTTGGTGAATGGTTCCTTTCTTTGTGTTGGGTATATTTTGCTGCATTGTCTGCCGGGCTTTCCTTCACTTTGGAATCTTGTCTTTCTTTTTCTCCCAGTTTGAACATCCCTGTTCTTTGATGCTCTTTGTCTGTGATGGGAAATACTAGTAGTTTGGGTACTTTATTCACCTTAGCACTCATTTCTGTCTTATCTGGCAAACTTTTCTCTTTTACAGAGTTCTCATGTGGGTCAGTAGTAAACACAGGACGTCTGCTATGACGGGTCTGTATTAGTGGAAAGAATCCTTCCTTTTTGTTGGGTGGGTATTCCTGAAAAGTATTTGCTTCTCTGTCCTCTGAAACAATTACTTTTAACCTTGCATAGTCTGCAATTGCTGATATCTCTGGTGTTGTGGATAGCTTTCCTTTTGGTTTTGTTTTAACTTCAGGTTTTTCTTGAAATGTGCTCTCCCTTGCTGGGAATGAATTTCTTGAACTTTGTCTTTCGGTTGCCGATACAGTGGAGTGGTTCTCAGTTTGTTTTCTAATGTGATTAGCTTGTTCTGCCTTAGCATTTTCATTATTATTCCATCTCTTCCTAGATCTGTCTGTCTGTTTTGATTCTAGCTTATCTTCTGCTTCCCAATTTTTCCTTTTAGCATCTTCATCTTGAACTGTACTTGAATCGGTTGTTTTTCTTTTACTTTGATCCACAGTGAACACAAAGGCTTCAATCTTTCCTTCATTGTGTGTTTCATTGCTGGCAGCTGTTCTGTTTGGTGGTAACCCTGGAAGTCCCCTTCCCTCTGATGCATCTCTATCAGTTTTGCTATTGTACTGTGGCTCATTACTGGTTTCTGTTATCCCTTGTACTTGAAAGTAGTCTCCATTTGCTTGTTGTTCACTTGATTCACCCACCAGTTCCTCACATTTCTTTACTTTTTCAAGCTCTTCATTCTCAGATTGAGTATTCTCGCTTGTTGCATTGTTGCTATTCTGTTGATTGCTAAATTTCAGCGAATCAGACAGTTTTCTAACACTGGACAGCACATGTGTGTCATCAGAACTAGATCTCTCAGTGCATGCTTGTTCTTCTGTGCTTAAAGTGATAACTTTTTCTTGGCATCTAGATGATGTAACTTCTTTCTCTTTATTAGCTTGCACTCGATCAAATGGCAAAGTTGCACCATCTTCTTTTCCAACTATCGCCATGTTATCCGTCTCAGTTACTGATGGTACAACTCTGATGGCGATGCTGTCAATGTGCACGTTATCGTTCTCTTTTTTATTATCCCTGATTTGGTTGTCATTATATTGAAATTTGTGTGATCCATGTGTGTTTTCATTTTTGAATAACTTGTTGGAAGGACTGGTGTTTAACATTTTTGGAACTATAGAGTCATGTTTGTTTTCCTCAAGTAGCGGTGCTGTTTTGCCATCTACATTGCTGATGTTGGCCTGATTGTCCACATTTGTCATATCTTCTTTCAGAACTTGCTTAGCGACCTGCTTTATCAGCATTTCAGCATCATTCATGTTGTTGATTCCAGTGTTCACTGTTGTGGCAGCTAAGTTCTCATTGCTATGAGCTGTTTGCACTTTTTGTGGATTTTTCTCTTCATCTGTCCTCTCTCTTAGCATTTTATCTGTGTTGTGATCCTTTCCTTGTCTTGCTTTTATGTCCTCTTTGTGGTGAAGGGGTTGAGTTTCACCTGGCACTGTATTTTTAGCAGGTACAGTGATGGTACCTTTTTTGGTCAAGGTTTCTGGCTGTGTTTCCCCCTGAGGTTTTGTATTCATAGTAGAACCATCCTGTTGAGGATGTGTCCTTTCCTGACACATCTTCATATTGTTCTTTACTGCTTCTGAGAGTGGTGTTTCTTGCACATTTTCAGGATGACTTTCTCTAACAAATTTAGCCTGATCTTCTGTTTCCTGCGTGTTATTTTTCTTTATGACCTCATTTGAAGATGTGTTTCTTTCAGTTAATTCTAGACATGAGTTGGGAGAACACTTATCCAGGTCTGAACTGTTGCTCTCTTTCTCTGTTACATTCAGATGGTTTTGAGCATTGTTATTCTCTTGACCAGTGTTCACAGTTGGCTTTCTTTCGTGTACAGTTACCATTATTCCCATAATCTGCAAGCTATGATCAGCTGCAGGTTCTTTTTTCTGACCAAAGACAATGTTTAGTGAAGGTGCTAAGTCTACATAAGCTTCTTCTTTACTTTCAGCCTTTTCTGTCATCACAGGTTTGGAGCTTGCAGCTTTGACACAGGTGGCGTCTGCAGGATCTTCTTCCTTTTTGTTGGGAATGTCAGCTTTTATATCTGAAGAGTCTTTACCTCCATCTTTTGGTTTTCCAGATATTTCTGCATGAACTGCTTTCTGTTCTTCTTGGTTGATCGTGAGTGGCTGCTCTTTATTTTGCATTGGTTTGGACTCCAGCTTTTGATTTTGTAGCAAGCATTCAGTTGTGCTCATGATATTATGAGTGGTGGTTGCTGCAGATTTAACTGGTATAGTAGCAGAGCTTGAAGGTGAAACAGACTTGACACGGTCCATCTGTACTCCTAAAGATCCCATCTGAGGTTTCAGTGTTGCATTACTGGGCATTATACTTTCATGCTTTTTAGATGCCTCCTGCGATGGCGGCCTCTGTCGTATCTTAACTGTCTGACTACCAGCTAATTGCTTGGAAGAATTTTTGGATATGAATCCATCTCGTATAGCACAGCCCTTTTCTTTAATTGCTGAAATTTCCTTTTCAGCATGAGCTTTTATCTTGGAAGTCAGAATCTCTTGCTTGGTCATGGCTCTTTCTTTATGAGACAGTGATTTGGGAGGCATAAAATGCTGATCTTTACTTGGGCCTAGATTGTGCTCAGCTGACTTAGGTTTCCTTTCATGGGGTAGCAGTTTCACCCAATCAGAATCTCTTTGCTGTGAAACCTCAGTGTCTTTCACAGGGGTGCATTTTTCCAATTTTTCAACACTGTTGTCCTTCATGTTATCGCTAACAGTGTCAAAATTTGCTCTGTTATTTACATTAGTTACAGAATAATTGGCACTGGGTAATTTGGATTCTTTGGCTGACTCATTGTAAACAGGCTGACTTTCAGAGACTTCACTGGATTTAAAGCCACCTACTTCCTCTATATTTTTTTGGTTAGCTGTGATAAATCTGCTTGTAGGACTGTGTTCTTCTGTTGATTTCTCCTTATTTACTTTCTCAACTTTATTAGGAGGTAAAACTTGCTTTTCA